TTTATAGATTCTTTGGAAGAATAATCCGAGGAACTGGGACTGAGTTTTGTAACAAGAAATAAAAACAGCCGCCATATATTGCATTTTTCTATGTCTGTGCTAAGTGCTCTGGGTACTGTACTAAGTGCTCCGCCTGAGCCCCGGGCCTCCTGCTGTAGCAGCCCAGCGAAGGTGTGTCAGGATCTCCATTTTGTAGATGGAAAATAGAGGCTCCCTTGGAGAAAGGAGGTGGCACACCCACCTGGTGTGTGGCCAAACTTACGCTTTTAATTTTTAAGCTTTACGACCTTCTAAAAGATAACACAGAAATGAGGCAGCTGAGACCCTGAAAATACTCTGAACCACAGCCATACCAGAGGCTTAGACTGGAACACAGACAGGCAGGGCCCGGCAGTTTATTACCGCCCCCCCCCCCCAATCCCCACCCCCAGTGATTCTAGGAGTCTGGGGCTTGCAGGGGGCTGGGAACTTCTGTTCATCTGCCAGGTCCAAGGTTTTCCAGACCAGACCGCCCCTGCTTGCATGTAGCAGATGATCTCTTGGGATGCCTGTTGTTAGCCTCCCCTGCTCTGCTCTGTCCCGGCGGTGAGGGAGGGGTGCAGACACTCACCCATTGATCTTTTCCCTGCTCCCTAAGCCAAGCAGCCTGGCCCTGGATTACTCAGGGGTCCCTCATTTCTCCTGTTTATGTGCTGTCATCTCTAACAGCTGAACCCAAATTCTGGCCGCCTGAGTAGTAAAATCCCAGGAACTTAAAGCAAAGTAGTAAAACCACAAGGCTTAAGGTGAGTCTGACTTTGTGGGAGAGGAAGCGGCTGTTGGTTTTCTTTTTTCTTTTTAAAATAAGTCTTCCTGTCCTGGGGGTATAAAACCATGTAAAGGTTTATGAGCTGGAAGGAACTTTGAAAGTGGCATTAATTCTCCACCTTCACCCCCATTTCACAGATGAGACAGCTGAGGCATGGGGAGAGGAGGTGACTTGCCCAAGGTCTTATTCAGGGTTCCTGGGTCCCAGGGACTGTTCTAGGCACCAAGGACCAGTCATGTGCCATTGTGGTGTTTACATTTTAGTGCAGGAGCCAGACAGAACATACATATGTTACCACACTAGATGGTGATAGGTGCCGTGAAGAAAAATAAACCATTTGGATGGGAAGGTTGTTTGGGCAAAGGGAACGGCAAAGGCAGAGGCCCAGAGGTGCAATCATGCTGTGTTCTTGGGGAATTCCGGTGTGCCCCAGAGGAAGTTGGTGGTAATTTGGGCTCCTGGTCATTTATTTATCCGTTCATTTTCTGAGTGTTATCTTGGGCGTCTTCTGCTGCCTCCAGTGGCCAGTGTAGGTGGTTGCAGCTCACGAGGGGAGGGCCTGAACACCTGGCTGGGGGAGTGGGGAGGGTACCTGCTCCCAGACTGTGACTGACGCAGGGACACAAGTCATTGACGGCATTCTGCTTGCAGGTGGCACTGTGTACTTTTGCCGTCTACGTGACCGTCGACGAGACCAACATCCTGAATGCCCAGAAAGCCTTTGTGTCCTTGGCCTTGTTCAACATTCTTCGTTTTCCCCTGAATATTCTCCCCATGGTCATCAGCAGCATCGTGCAGGTACGGGCGAGGCTGGGGGCTGCAGGGAGGGCTCTCCTGGGAACAAAACAAAAGGGCTTAGCTGTCCCCCTGCAGGCAGTTCCCTCCGCACCGGGCATCCCGCTGCGCCTGGCCCCGTGGCTTTCATGCTTTTGGTCGTACCCCAAAGAAAGAAATACATTTTAGTTCTTGACAAGGAACTCACATACTGAGGATTAATGCAGCCAGGCTTTCCCGTGCTCAGTAAGATGCTTTCTGAAGTATTTATTCTATTCCAGTCCGCAGTGTTCCACTCTCCCCTATCCCCTAGTCTGTCTTTTAAAAAATGCTTCTCTTGACCCATTAAATTGATTTCACCAGCCACTAATAGGCCTTGACACACCAGTTCAAAAACCCCAACCTAGACCACCCCCCAGAAGCCCTAAAATTCATGCCGTGACTCTAAGGAGAGGGAACTGCTCTCTCCACTTTAACACCATTTGAAACTCCCACCACTTGCCTGCCGATCGTGTTTTTCACACTCTTCTGCCTCGCGTTTCACATATTCAGGTTGAAAACCTCATTTTCAGCCGCACAGAGGAATCAGTCTTAAGATTTGGTTGTACAACTCTGGTTGTAGGCTTTATTTAAAAAAAAAAAAAAAAAAAAAGCAGATAAGACCCCTTTTTATTATGAAACATTTCAAACATATACAGAAGTAGAGACTAGGATAATGATGAACTTTGTGTACCCATCACCCGGATTCAACATTATGTCACACTTGTTTATCAGGTCGTTTTTCTATCCCTCCACCCCCCTCCTTCCTCCCTCCCTTCATTTCTTTTTTGTTCTTTGCTGAAAATTTTTAAAGCAAATCCAAGACCTCTTGGCCATTCACCCAAAAATACTTCTGCGTGCCTTTCTTCTTGCATAGCCGGAACACCATTATCGTGCCCAACAAAACTAACAGTGCTTTCTTAAAGTAATACTCAGCCCAGCTGCAAACTTCCCAGCTTTGCTGGCAGCGGCAGGGACAGCACCGGTGTTAGACCTGTGGGGTCAGACTGGACCTGGGTTCAGCAGCCTCGGTACTTGCGTTCTGGCTAGGGAAGAATTCAGAGCCAGAACTCAAAGCATAAGAGAACATTTATTTGGAAAATCTCAGAGGTTGACGAAGGAACTCGTAGAAAAGATGGGTTTAGGAAACAAGTTATAGAGGTAAAGGAGGGACCCTTGGAGCTTAGGAGTGAGGAAGGTAAAGGTGAAGTGCCTGGGGGGAGGGGACGGTTAAGGGGCTGGGGAAAGGCACAGGTCTGCTCCCAGGAGGGAGAACTGCTGGGTCCTCTGTCTTAAGGGTTTTAAGGGCGGAGATCTTAGGGGAGGTCCCAGGAGAAGATCTCAGTAGAATATTCAGCAGCTTTCCAGGTGTGTCCTTTCAGGGTCAGTGCAGCTGGGCCTGAGGTCAGCAGTGGTGTCCCTTGTCTGGTTTTGCTGCTTTTCGGGGCCTGGAGCTGAAACACAACTTGAGGCTTAGATGTTATCTCTAGGGAGGGAAGGTCAGGGGTCCAAATCCCATGCCCAGCAATATGAAAAGGTCAGGGGGTCCAACCTGCATGACCAGCGATATGCTAGTGGAGGAAAGGTCACCTGAGGGTGAGGTCCTGCCCTACATTTGTCCTTTGCGAGGCACTCGGGGCTTTCCGCCCTGTGACCTGTATCTGGCTCATCGCCTTCGCTCTGCTCATGTCTAACTGCCTAACACAGATTGTCTCATTAATGTCTTTACAGACGGGCTATTTGAATAAGAACCATTGTGTGTGTGTGTGTGTGTGTGTGTTTAAATCTATTTTTATTGGGATATATTTGACCTATAACTGTGTAAGTTTAATGCGTTGGTATATTGCAGTACGATTACCACCATGGTGTCAGGCAACACCTCAGTCACGTCACAGTTATCATTTCCCTTTTTGTGATGGGAACAGTTAAGATCTAGTCTCTTAGCAACGATGCTGTACATTCAGTCCCAGGACATACTCATCTCCTCGCTGCTCATATGTGCCCTTAAACGGGACCATTGCCTTTGGTTATTATGTTAGCCCCTTTGCATCCAGGAAAGTCCTTTTTAATACCAGTTGTGGGATTTTAAAGGAAAACATATTAGAACTGTTTTACTTGTTATTCTAAGGTGAATGCTGGTTTGGGGAAACGCAGAGCCTTCAGAAATGAGGGAGGGTGTGGGCCCTCTGCACCCAGGGCAAGCCCACTGAATGTTGGCCTGGGGTCTGTTTTGCAAAAATCCTTTCAAAAATAACCATATCTTGTGTATGGTTGCTTCCTGTGTAGGCGAGTGTCTCCCTCAAACGCCTCAGGATCTTTCTGTCCCACGAGGAGCTGGATCCCGACAGCATCGAGCGACTGCCCATCAAAGACGGTGTGTGCGTTTGGTCAGGATGCTGCCCTCACCTCAGCTGTCCTCCGTTTGGCTTTGCCCAGCAGCTTGTCTGTGAGACCGCAGGGAGCAGGTTCTCTGCAGAGTGGGTGGACGCTAGGGCCTTGTCTTGCAACTCCCAGGGGGGTGAACTTGCACTTCTGCTTTCTTGCTGGGCGGCACCCGTGGGCAAGGCCTCTCCCTGAAGGTCAGCTTCCGGAGTACCTGGACTTTAATTCTATTCTGGGCAGATGCACAGACAGAACTAGGCTGTTGGAGACTGGCCAGTTGTGTGCCCTTGGGCAGGTCCCTTCACTGCTCTGAGACTCAGATTCCCCATCTGGATAATGGGAATGAAGGTACTTCTCTGTGGCAGAGGGTTATATGGGTTTTTATTGGTAAGTTCGTTTATTTTGTAGCTTATTAATGCATCCTTTCCCAGCCAAGGCCCCTGACCAGGGATCTGATCCATGGCTGTGTCTCCAAGCACTTAATCATCGGCTTTAATAGCACTCACAGCAGTGGCCACTTCCATGTCAGTGACATTCCCGCCATGGTGCTCTGTTCTAAGGACATCGATGTAACATCCCATCTGCTGCTCCTTGTGGCACAGAGAGGGGGGCTGTGGAAACCCCCATTTTACAGATGAGGAAACTGGCCTCAGTAACTTGCCCAGATCTCCCAGCTAGTACAAACTGGAATCAGGAGCCACACGACAGCCTGTGCTCTTAGCCACTGAGTGGATTTGTTGTAGGCGGTGAGAGCAGCACCAGGTGTCTGATGGGTGGGGTCAGACCAAACCTGGGTTCAGCAACCTCAGTACTTAGGTTCTGACTAGGAAAGAATTCAGAGCCAAGACCCAAACTATAAGAGAACATTTATTGGGTAAATCACAGAGGTACAAGTAATTCCTAAAGAAATGGGCTTAGGAAACAAGTTATAGGAGTAAAGGAAGGGCCCCTTTGGGAGTGAGGAAGCATGGGGCAGGGAGAGGGGGAGGGGTGGGGGAGAGAGAAAGGCACAGGCACAGGCACAGGCGTGCTCCCAGGAGGGAGAGCAGCTGGGTCCTCACCCTAAGGGTGTTGTGAGTGGAGACTTTAGGGGAGGGCCCAGGGGAAGATCTAAATAGACTGTTCTGCAGTGTTCCAGGTGTGTCCTTTCAGGGTTCTGGTCTCCACTGATTGATTGGCTGGCACCAGGGCAGGGGGTCATTCAATGCAGCTGGTCCTGAGGTTGGTTTTATTGCTTATCTGGGCCTGGAGCTGAAATACAAGTTGAGGCCTAGATGTTAACTCTGGGGAGGAAAGGTCAGGGGGTCCTGGTCCAAATGCCTGGCCAGAGATAAGCTAGGGGAGAAAAGTCACCCTGAGGGCGAGGTCCCACCTTACAGATGTCTGTTGCTAGGCACCTGGGGCTTCCCACCCTGATCTTCTGTACCTGGCCCATCATCACCATCCTTGCTCCGTTCGTGTCTGTCTGCCTACCACATTTGAGTACTTACTATGTGCCAAGCACTGTTCTAAGGGCTCTCTGCGTATTGCCTCATTTACTCCTCATCACAGCCCTCCCTGTGGAGGCCATCCCATTATTCTCAATTCTATTTTACAGATGAGGAAGTTAGGCACAGAGAAGTTAAGTCACTTGCCCAGAGCTTTCCAGCTAGGAAGTGGCAGTGTAGGGATTTGAGCCCACACAGTGTTGGCTCCAGCGCCCCATGAATGTGCGTATGTATTGGTTATAATGTGTGCACATTACCTGGCACCTCATAGGTTTTCAGGTGTCTTCAGTGGTGTGTAAACACCCAGCACAGTGCCTGCCAGCCCAGGAATGGTGGTCGTTACTTCTCTAGTGCGACTGAGAAGATCTGCAGCGTGTTCAGCTCAGGCTTCGCACTACTGACGTTCCGGCAGATCGTTCTTTGCTCTGGGGTGTTTACCGGATGATGAGCAGCATCCCTGGCCTCTACCCACTAGATGCCAGTAGCCCACATCCCTATTTTTTTTTAAATGTTTTTATTGATTTTTAGAGAGAGAAGAAGGGAGAGGGAGAGATAGTAACATTGATGAGAGAGAAACATTGACTGGTGGCCTCCCGCACGCCCCCTACTGGGGATCGAGCCCGAAAACCCGGAATGTGCCCTGACTGGGAATGGAGCTGGTGACCTCTTGGTTCATGGGTCAATGCTCAACCACTGAGCCACGGCGGCCTGACCACACCCCAGTTTTGACAGCCAAAAATGTCTTGCTCCCCAAACATTCTGTCCCTTGGGGAGCAGAGTCACCCCCACTTGAGCACTAGTACTCACTGGATGCTGGAATCTTCCTCCTGACTTCCCTGGCCTCTGGTCATCCAGTCCCTGCTGTCCTAAGGACCTTCGTCCCCTCCCCACCAGAGGACACAGGGAGAGGCAGCATCCACACCAGGGTTAAGTGTCTCTGCATTGCCCAGGGCCTAAATTTGGGGCAGCCAGTGGAGGTTTGAGCTGCTGCAGTTCACAGCTCACTGCAGGCGTCATGTTGCAAAGCCCCACCCCAGCCTCCTGGAGCCCTGCAGACCTCAGCCCCTCCCTTCCTGCCCTGGTGGCAACCTGCTAGGCATTTTGACCTTCAGATGTTTATCCACACCTCCAGGTGCCAGACCTGGCAGCTTTCAGCCACTTCTCCTGGTCCATTAGCTTGTCAGTCTCAAGTGGCTTTTCTTAAATTTTTTTTCCAGTTTCCTCCTGGTTCTCCATTTTCAGTGGGGATGGGAGGAGGGAAGGAGGGAAAAGGTTAAGTTAGGTTAACCAGTAACTTCCTCTCACCACAACTTTTTGTTTTTGTTTTTGATGTATGGGAGAATTTATTTCTTCATTTGATAACTGCAAAACACCCCCATCTTATCTCTAGGTGGTTTTAAGATGGCTCATAATTAGAGTCAAATTTGTATTTTTTTAAGTGAGGGACATGGAGTGAAAGGAAAATAAGAGAAGGGAAAGGGAATGAGGACAGAGGAGCTCTGCATGTATGTAGGCTTTGTCTTACCACCCTCCCCCTGCCATACCCCACAGCCTGCTTCTACAGCGGATGTGACTGCTGTTTAGAAGGGTCTACTGTGATGAGAGGATGAGTTAGGGGGCAGCCCTGAAACCCAGGAGTTGGGGCGCAGGGCTGCTTTGTACATAAAGGAAGAGGCCCTGGTGTGTGGTGAGGGCCAAGGGCCAGCCCACGCTGATGGAGAGAAGCCCAGTGCAGGAGGGTGCTCACTGTTGCCGTTGACCTTGGCTTCTGCCCGGCCCTCCCGGCCAGAGCTGGCTGGCGGAACCTCCCAAGACAGGGCGAGGGAAGTCCCTGGCTCCCTGTGCTCCCCGTGGGTCCCCCCACCTCTGCGAGATGGGCGTCCGGATGGCGCAACCTCCTGCCTTTCAGGGCGGAGCCCTCTTGCGGTTTCCTTTTGCTTTCTGGGTCTGAGGCCACCTCCAAAATTGCTGGTTGGGTTCTTTAGAAACTGAGACAGATGTAACCAGATGATGCCTAGCGGAACTGTCTAGCCTCTGGGGTTGAACTACACTTGATTAGAAAAAAAATCAGAGCCTGCTGCTCACTCCCAGTCCCGTGACTTCATAGTGCCTGACGCGCTGTGTCTGCTGCTTTTCAGGCGGGGGCTCGCACAGCATCACCGTGAGGAACGCCACCTTCACGTGGGCCAGGAGCGACCCTCCCACCCTGAATGGGTAAGCCAGGATGTGGACAGAAGCACAGGGCTCTGGGCAAACATGGGTTCAGTGCCAGCCACGCTCCAGCTCTATGACCTTGAATAGGTCCCTTGCCTTTCTGAGCCCCACTTTACTCATCTGGGAAATAGATGCAGTCACACCTGATGAGAGTGTGCCTGGCACAGAGGGTTCCCTTTCATTGTAAGTGACAGAAACCTTGCACAGATAGGCTTAGGCAACAAAGGGAGATTTTTGCTGTGAGTAACTGAGAAGGGCCACTTTCAGGTACAGTGTGATCCAGGGACTCAGTGCCATTAGGATTCTCTGCATCTTGTCTTTGTTCTGCTTCTCTCTCAGACGGCCTCTCCCTTCATGATGGCAAATGGTCCCTATTCACTCCAGGTGTGGATTAGGACAGCGGTCACCAACCCTTCGGACTTGACAGATCACCAGTGGTCCACGGACCACTGGTTGGCAACCACTGGATTAGGAGACCTGCCTGCCTCTGATTGGCTCAATTTGGGTCATGTGCCCCTCCCTGAGCCAATTACTGTGCCCGGAGAGACCCAGCACACTGATTGGCCAAGTAGGGTCCCAGACTGTGATGCTGATGGTGGTGGCAGGCAGGCTTGAGTCTGTCGTAAGGAATTCTTGTCTGCTGGGATTTGCTCTCAGGAAGGAATTGTTCTCTGTCCTTCCGGGGATCTCCAGCTGCCTGGATCACCCTTTCTCACCCACTCCTTCCCTGGTACCTTGCCCACAAGGCACACGGTGTCCAGGGAATTGACCTGGCTTCCCGGGCAACTTGTTAAGTGCCTCTTATTTCCTCTGACTGGAGTCCTTGCTCAGTGGTTTCTAGGCCTCCTTAAGGAGTCCCCAAAACACAGGGCGAGAAGGGGCCAAATGTATCCCCCATGCCCCTGAGCAAATACCCCCTTCCTGGGAGCCAAATTACAGAGAAAAGGATCTGTATCACATCTCCCTGAAAATTCATGGTGGGGTTGCATGTTTAGGAAGTTCTTCCTTGTGTCTGACTCTACTCCTGCCTGCTTCAATTTTAGCTTTTCTCTCTCATTCTACTCCACAAGTAAATACTCTATGTCTGTGCTCTCATCTTTTCTTCTGTTCTTCCAGAATCAAAGGCTGTCCTGTTCCTCTCCCACCTCGATTCCCCAAATCTTTATTCATCCAAACTTTCTTTCTCCTCAGCCTATAAAGTTACTCCCGTCTCACCTGGATGATTGCAAGAGCTGCTTCCCTGAGCCCCCTAACCCACCCCCCTCACTGCACAGGAACAAAAGAATAGTCAGTGCGACCGTGCAGCAGGTCCCCAAGAATCAGACAGTGGGTGACAGCGAAATGTAACAGCATTTCCGCGAATAGGTTGAAAATCCTAATAGCAGCCGTGGAAAAGCACAGCCAGTGTGAGCAACCCAGCAGTGCCCTGGACGCGCTGCCCTTCTGGTGGAGGAAATCCTAGCTCTGACACACCCTGTGACAGGCAGTCACTGCCAGAGCGTGAGCTTATTTTCTTGTACCTGTCAAAGGGCAATTTCAGTGGAGGCCACCACCCACCTTCAGGATGGGCCTACCCTCCCTGCCTCATCTGTGTCATTGACATGTCAATCCCTGACCGTACACGCTACTCAAGCCTTGGCCTTTTCTTAAGCTGTTCTAGGTTTCTGTGTCTGACACACGCTTACTCTTCCTTCAGAGTTCCTTTTGAGGTGCCCTCTGCCCCCAGGGCACCTGTGCTGTGCCCCGGGGCAAAGTGAATAGCCCTGCATTTGGCTGATCACTCAGGTCTCCGTTTTCTCAGATGTGCTGGCATCTCAGCACCTGGCCTGTGCCTCACACAGGAAAGACCTGAGACTGTTCACTGAGCCAAGCACAGCAGCAGAAACACGGGAGAAATGTCCACATCGTAGAGGCGCTCGACCACCCTGCCTTCCGCTTCTCTCTCTACTCAGGGTAAACCCAGCTCCGTGGCCCAGGGCACCGGCCCCTGTCGACCTCATTCAGGTGAGAGCATGACTGAGGCACTGTGTGTTGTGTCTTTTCAGCATCACCTTCTCCGTTCCAGAAGGTTCCTTGGTGGCCGTGGTGGGCCAGGTGGGCTGTGGAAAGTCATCTCTACTCTCAGCACTCTTGGCCGAGATGGACAAGGTGGAGGGGCACGTGGCTATCAAGGTGAGGACAGGGTGAGAGGGAGCCGTGGGGGCTGATGGGTGAGAGGAAGGTCAGGTGTGATGTTGGCTTCTCTTTCATGTGGTCCCCGTGCATGAGGCAGGAGCAGCAAGGTCTCTCTCTCTCTTGTTCTTTCTCTCGCATTCTTTCTGCCCTTCTGTGCCATCCGGAAGAAGTGTCACTTATTTCGTGCTGTGTCCGAGCACCAAGCATAGTGCCAGGCCTGGAGTGGGCACTCAGTACATATTTAGGAAGCACACAAATGTTCCCTGGTCTGCTCACTGTCTCTCGTTCCCTCCCCATCTCTGCTCCTCAGTGTACATCTCGTGACCTCTTTGTCCATGAGTCTTTCTGGCTTGTTCTCTCTCTACGGAGCTGTGTGTGTGTGTGTGTGTGTGTGTGTGTGTGTGTGTGTGTGTGTGTAAAAGTAACTAAACTTAAGATTTCTGATTTATGTCATTGGAATGTGATCTTAGAGAATTCTTTTTAAGGGAACTGTTTAAAATCTGAGTGTGTATTGAGTTCTTAATATGGGGCTAAAACAGACTGTGGTTTTATTGCATTTAAATACACAGAGTACTGTGAACGAAGCTGTTATCTTCCTCAAGAGAGAGTCTGAGAGGCTGCTTCAGTGAATAAATGAGTCCTTTAGAAATTAAGTGTCTTGTTTTGCATTTAGCTCATTCCCCATGAAAGCCTTCTCCTGGGGTAGGAAAACCTCCCTCAAAGTTTTGTTGGTACCAGCGGTACCTGCAGTGGGGTCTGTAGCAAGCCCACGTTGTGGGATGTTTTGGGAAATACTACACACTCTGGTTCCCTCCCTCTTGGACACGTAGAATAAACATTAATAAAGTAAAGGCTCTAAGAAATTCTGCAGGGAGAAAGAAACCTATTTAACTTTGGTTAACCCAGCATGGTCCAGCCATATTTGCCCAAACCTTTTTATTGTCTATGCGGAAACTAGTTACAGCCCAGAATTACTGTCTCTTGGAATCTGCTTTTGGGATGCTGGTTTATGCCATTGTCCCTATTTCAGTGCACAATCTTTGTTGATTAAATAATGCCCTTTAGCCTAATATGCATTAGTAAAAAGTATACATTACAGTAGTTGGGTCCAAACTAATATTGTCTAACTGTTGTTTTAGGAAATGTTCTGTCATTGCTTTCAAATACATGTTATGAAGTAGGATCAATGGTCCACGTGAGCTGGGTTACTGGAAGAAAATTACAAATCATGTAGGGACCTATGTCGCGTTCTGTTTCATTAACCCTGGATTTCCCCAACCACAGCCCTGTTGACTTGTTGGGCTGGATAATTCTCTGTTGTGGGGCTGTGCTGTGCATTGTAGGGTGGTTAGCAGCATCCCTGGCCTCTATCCCGGGACACCCGTAGCAGCCTCCAGCTGTGACAACCAAAAGTGCCTCTCGACATTGTCAGATGTCCCCTGGAGGGCAAAATCACTCCATGTTGAGAACCACAGCTTTAAAGGAGAAAGCTTTTAAATAAAGAAGTGATGGATCTGGAATGGGAGGGTGCACTGAGTATTGGGTTTGATGAGGTTAAAGGTTTATTTGTGATGGTTATTTTGCCCGGGAAGGGAGT